AACAAGGCACAAGACAGCCCCGAGACAAAGAATTACTAGAACCAAAATGATCAAGGATGCTGTATTAAGAACCCTTGATCTAGAAGCAGAGTCTAGAAGGAAAACCCCAGTTCTGCTTCTTGGAGCTGTGTGGATTTGCCTTGAATAATGCCTCATATAAAACACCGTAGACTGGTGACAAGTCATAAAAAGCATAAAGGTCCTTTATAATGATGTAAGATGTTCAACAAATAGTACTGAGGTATAGGTGACACAGGTAACAAGCTCAGTTCTGAAGTGCTCTGTTATGAGACGTCTCCCATCATCTCCTCTTTTCTGTCTAAAATAAAAAGAAGGGTTTTAACTTTAACAAAGTAAAATATATAACAAAATAGTTATCAAATAAAAACCATAGTTAACAATAGTTAGTCTGTTAACACTTAGCAAGATTTAAAGAAAATATTTTATCATCTATCTTATCTTTGTGAGTCTAAAGTCTTATATGTAACTTATCTTTAATCTTACCTAAGGAAAACTATAAGCATAACTATCTGTCTTCAACTCCATCAAAGACCACAGAAGGATAATATATAAATTCTAGAAATGACAGACACAACCTTCCTGGTCGGTCACCAGAAGTTCTTCTGTAATATTATATTTTCAGCCTATAGGCCAAAGTGTGTCTGAAAGACTCCTCAGCAAAGCAAGAAATTTCAAAATGTCCCACCTGTATTGACAGTTTGTCAGTCACTTTCCTCTGTGTCCTGTAGACTGTCTGACAGACTCTTCCATGAAGCAGGAACCATGTAACAATGTCCATCTTGTATCAGCAGTCACTTTTCTGTGGGTCCTGCACATCCAGTTTATACAGCATGAAGTCAAACAGTCCAGACAAAAGCAGTTTCTTGCCCAAATGGTTAGTATTGCCATATTGAAAACAAACTCCATAACGCATTTCTTCTATGTCCATCTTCCTTTCTGATTCAGTGGGTGTTGCCAGGAGCAGTTATGTCTCACTGTTAAGAAAACTTCTGAACCATTTTAAATGCCATAATCTGTAGGTCTTTGAACAGTTTGAAGAATGCCTATCCATCTCAAATAAGTCTCTGTATATCTTGAAAACCTAACTAACTTAACTCTAAGTTTTGACTATCATAGGTAATTATCTATAATCTGTACTAAATTATATATTACATTTCTAAATGAGCTATATAAACACAACACTTAAACAAAAGGAGAAATATACATGTCATAAAATTGACCTTAAATTTGTATCAATAAATGACAATCCACTCCAAAACAAAGTATTTATAGCTATACCTTTAGTCCCCCTTCTCCCTTGAAAAAGAGATTGGTTGTGGTCATTAACCATTTGTAACCAACCCCATATAAATGAAAACAATTATTAATGAAAACAAATATTTATAAATCATATTTGGGTGTCGTTCTTTCCAAACTGCTTCCTGTTGGTAGGGGGTGCTGTCATGGGGATCCCAAGAAGACTCAGAAATCCTGGCTGTAGTGATCTGCAAAGCTGCCTTGTCCTGGCTGTTTTGAATGTTGGATCATCTGGGATACTGCTTCAAGGGGTCTTGCTTGATCAAACCATGTTAGTCTGAAAGGAATACACAGCTTTTCATTTTCTGTGGAAACAAAAATAGAAATTCTTTTCCCCAGTAACCTGTCCTTAGACTTAAATTTTGAAGTCAGAGCATTTTTAAAATATGTAAATTGGATTAATCCAGAAGCATTTCTTTTAACAGTTGTTGCTATTTCCTCAGCATTCAAACAATACAAAGACAACACAATACCATACAGTATCCAAACTCTCTCTGTCCTTTACATCTTTACATGGCTTTTTTATTACTCAATTTCTTTTACTTCTATTTTTTTCACTTTTTGAGACAGGGTTCCTCTGTGTAACTTTGGCTTCCCTGGAATTTACTCTGTACACCAGGTTCACTTTGAAATCACAGAGATATGCTTGCCTCTGTCTCCCGAGTGCTGGAATTAAAGGCATGTGCCGCCACACCCAGCTACTCTGTTTCTTTATATTTTTTTTAAGCAATTTTATCCTGTTTCTTTTTCTTTCCCAAGCCTGTGTATATTTTAAAACACATTGTAAACGTTTAGAGGTTTTTCTTAATTTGAGTATCTTTACTGTAAATCTTTATCTTTTTCTGGCCTCGAATCTTTTATCTGCTAAACAACATTGCTAAAATTAAAGCCACAGCTGTATTAGTCGCTGTCTATCAAAGATGGCGGTGGGAGGGTACATTTACCGACAGAACCGAGAGCTGAGCTCATTGCCTTGGTCTACGCTGTCATCCAGCAGCATGCTGCCGGCTTGGAGATGTGGTCACTGCCATTGCTAGTTCTCATACACACCATTAAGTTGTTGGCAAAGCTCTTTAAAAGCCATGCAGTTTTTTTGCTGCTTATGCTGAGTCAGGGAACTTCCCTTAAAGGAGCCTCGAAAATCTCTGCTTGTCTCTGGCAAAACAGAGTCAAACGTAGATAAATGCTGGTAACTAGAAGCCTTGTTGGTCTCTGTTCTTTTGCTTTTAAAACCCCCTTTTAAGCTTTTGTTAAGTTTTAAGTGGAAGAGAACCACTTTGTTATGAGTTGTTTTTCTACCAGCCTGGCCCCACAGCTGCGTCAGCCCCAAATAACACACAGAGATTAGATATAAAACTGTTGACATTTCTTATTGACTAGCACTATCTTAAATATTAACCCATTTCTATTAATCTAAGTATTTCCATGTGGTCTTATCTTACCGGAGAGAGGGTCTGGAGTTCTGCTCTCTTGGTCCTACATGTTGAATCTCCTCCTACCTCTTCCTGAATCCTCCTTGTCTCCTAGTCCTGTCTGTCTTGCTTTCCTATTTGCCAACAGTGCTTTATTCATTAACCAATATGAGAAACATATTTACAGAAAGACATCTCCCATCAGTGCTCCTGTTCTTTTAGTGGCACATTCCATGTATAAGAGACACAGGGTTCATTTGCATTTGCATCCTCCATTTCCCAGTTCTGAGTGCCCAAACCTAAGGATTTCTGTGTGCTAGCCAAGTGCTCTAATACTGAGCTGTGCCTCTAATCCCAGGGTTTTCCTACACACACACACACACACACACACACACACACACACACACACACAAACCCACACACACACACACTAATGACCTCGAGGTACGTAGTTATTGACATATTCTGGTGGTAGGAATTGAGTGAGATACTCTTGTGATGGGAGTGAGAATGGGCCAGAATTGGTTGCTATGTTAGAAGATGGTTTTGGCTATTACAAAATGTCTTCCCTGGATACGCAGGTGAACCAAATCTGCCTGCCTGCCTTTGCCCTTGGAGACCTACAAGCCCAGATTTCCCTCTTCTCCCAAGACAGTGACTCTATCCTTAAACTAGCAAGTTTTTTTAAAATACAGATTCTGTTGGCTGCAGAGATGACTCAGAGTTAAAGAGCACTTTCTGCTCTTCCAGAGGTTCGATTCCCAGCACTCACAATCTTTAATGCCAGTACCAGGGGATCTGATGCTCTCTTCTGTCCTTCATGGGTAATGTATGCATGTGATGCACAGTAGGCAGTCAAAATACACACACACACACACACACACACACATATATATATATACATATATATACATACATATATATATATATATATATATATATATATATATATATATATTTAAACTTACAGGATGGAAATTGGGGCTCTCTGGAGATGTGCCTAAGCATGTACATTTTAAGGCCCTGTCCTTGAAGCTCTGGTTTGGTAGTATGAAGTATATGTAGCCTGGACACGGGTGTTGCCAAAGATCTTCAGGTGCTGGAGTACATAGCCAGATTGGCACCTGCTGACAAAGGCCACCTCGAGAACTGTTACTTTGTCATCTGGGTCCTTGTCTATGGAGTTTCCCTCAAAGCCCATGGGCCATCTGAGAGTCACTGATAAAACTCTGCCCAGGCTGAACCCAGCTTTGAATCAAGATGTCTCTTTTGAGTCCTAACATTGGTGACAATGACTATTCCCGAAGGTGACTTCAGCACAGACAGACCACTCAGCCTTTGGTGCCGATGCCTGCTCCTTGAAGTGTGCTCCAGCCCAAGTTAACCTACATAAAACCTACTGTAGCCTACTTTCTACCACTCAATGCATTTCTTTGGGAATAGCCTTACACCTACAAGGCTGGGAGAGCTATTTGTCCTGTTACAATATCTTACATATATGAAAGGCAGAATGAGTAGTTGAATAAATGGAAGGACATACATTCGTTCTGTCCAGATTTTTCCTTTTCAATTCTTTTTTTTTAATGTGTATTAGAATGTCAGGGAGGGGTGTGCATGTGAGGACTATGCCTGAGAAGGCCAGAAGAGAACACCAGTTCTCCTGGAGCTGGAGTTACAGACAGGTGTCAGCCACCTAGCATGAATGCTGAGAGCCCAACTCAGTCCTCTGGAAGAGCAGTGTGCACATTTAATCACTAAGCCATCTCTCCAGCCCTATTGCTGGGACCGTCATTATCTCATGGATGGCATCATGATTGAGTGAGTTGCAAAGATTCACTAGAGGTAAAGGGAGTCTGCAATATGAAAGTTGTTATAAGATCATAGTTCTCCAGCAGAGTAGAGGACCTGACATCCCGGGTGGGAGGCTGAGACAAAAGTAGACTGTGTTTCAGAACACAGTGGTGCACAGTGGTAATCCCAGCACTCAGGATTCAAATATAGGGGAATTTTAACTCCAAGGCAAAACTACAGCTCAAAACTACACATTGTTCCACATGGAAGAAAACTGGGGAGGAAACAATGCAAAACATCCATAAATGTCTGACATTTTTATTACATACACACAACTTTGGAGAGGAGCATAGACCTTAAAGGGCCTGCTAAGCAAGGGATTCTGAGTGGGGGCAGTGAATTCTTCACAATTAGGATACCAACAAAAGCTGATGTAACTTCAAATGCTATTATTTTCAAACACTATTTACTCCCTACAGGTCAGCTCCCACCACTAATTCAATAAGTTTAATAAGGTATTTCTTTTAATACTGTGTTCATGGAGTTCTGTGCCCTACTGGAAAACTGCTTGGGACACAACCAAGATTATTCATTGCTTTTAAGATTTAGAATCGATGAGAGCAGGGCCTGAGAGGCCACGTGTATGCTTGGGGTGTCACTATGTGTTGATGCCCATGGCCTGCTCCACGGCACGAGTATCCTCTGCAGGAGGTTTGGGGAGGTCCAACACGGTGGTCGACTTGTCCCTAGGATTCCCGGTGACCAGCATCCAGTGGTTCTTGGGCTTTTCAACTCTGTGTGAATCCAGATGTGTATGAGCTGCAACCTCAACTTCCTTCCCGAAATAGGTCCTGCAACAAAAAAGAATGGATTCCAGTTAGAACTGAGTGATGGTACTCAGGAATGTTTGCTCATCCCTCCTAGAAAATTCCTCTTGGATTAGACCACTGTACAAATCCCAGTAGAGTCCCTAAAACGTGGTACATTTGCAGGAATATTTCATTCCTGTTTGCAGAGGTTTAGGCACATAAGGTCCCTTTGTAGCCAACATCCTCCCATCAAGGAAGACTTTTCTGAATAACAACATCAAAGTTCTACACAAAACAGAATTTCATCATCACAATTCATAATTATGACATTTAAAAGTATCAGTTATAATTCCAATCAAAAAATAATGCATGGACAGGGTAGGTTTCTCTGACAAAGTATTTCTCAAATATAATAATTAAGCTTCTTTAGTGTTAAAAATAAGTATTTGCAAAATCAAGTATGTTGGATTTTAAATTTAGACCAATCAGGATGATAAACATATGGACTACCCCTGAACTGAAATTAAATTTTGTCTTTTGACTGTCTTAATCAATGTTATAACCTCTTTATGAGTTATAAAATAAAATATGTCACTTGACAAAATGAGATATTTGATGTTGAGCAGAAATATTCTAATAATGTTAAGCATTAACAAGTATTTTCAAGGGGCTGGAGAGATGACTCAGAGGTTAAGAGCACTGATTATTCTTCCAGAGGTCCTAAGTTCAATTCCCAGCAATCACATGGTGGCTCACAATCATCTGTAATGAGATCTGGTGCCCTCTGCTGGCATGCAAACATATATTAAGACAGAATACTACCTACACAATAAATAAATCTTAAAAAAAAAAAAAACAAATATTTTTAAACATTTGACTTGTTCAGCATGCTTAAGAGTAGATGCTGTAAACAATAAATAAAACAAAAATTGGTCTTTACTTTTAAATAATTTTTATAAACCTTGGTGATAAAATAAATCAATGCCATTGTTCTTAATTCAGCACCTAAAGACCTTTACCTCGCATAACTAGACATATACTCTTAATCCAAAATCTCTGCTTTTACACATATGACCTGAGCCAATTACAGCATTCTATTCTGCACCCAGCAATGTGATACCTTAAGGAGAGATGCCGATGGGCTGCCAGGGCTCGGTTTGTTTGTCGATGATAGATGACAAGTTTTTCATTTGCCTTTACAGGAAAGGAATAGAGAGTACTATCAGCATTCTGTCTGACTTTCTGGAAGCAAAAATCTAGAAAACATTAACATATTCATTTCAACGTAGTACATATATAACCTACAAGGCTACCGTGATGGGTTTGATGAAATGCATCATGGTAGATAGCTGCATGGGTTGATATTGAAGAAGATTTTTGACAATGTGAAATATGGCTTATGGTGTTATGTACACACAGATGCACACACGTGTATGTATATATTCAGCAGTTTCTATTTGTGTGTGTGGTAGGCATACATGTTTGTGTGGATATGCCTTGTACCTGTATGTTCATGCATGTGGAGGCCAGAAGTGACACTGGGTATCTTTTCACTGTATTCTACCTTATTCTTTGAGAGGAAGGATCCTTCAGTGAACCTGGAGATGACCAGCTAGACTACCTGGACAGAAAGCCTCAGGAATCCTCCAGCCTCTGCCTCCCAGCACTAGGATTTCAGGATACACTTGACCTCACCTGCCTTTTACATGACTGCTGAGATCCAAACTCAGGTCCTCAAACATGTGTAGCAGTGTGCAGGACTCTACCCAATGAGACATCTCCATAGCTACTCATGATGTCATTCTGGGTATGTATGTGTACATTCTGGAATATGTGTGTACACACATATATGTGTATGTATGTGTATATATATTCTGGCATATATATTCATATGCATAGAAAAATAGTAAATAAAGTGGTTTCTTCTGGGAGATTGAACTAATACTGGTTATTTTAATATCTGTACATTAATGACTATGAAAGTGAATATATATATGTGTATATATATATACACATATATATTCAGTGTTTATAATTAGAAAAAATAACTCACTGGAGATAGGGACTTGGCTGTATATCCTAAGCTAGCCTAGAACTCATGATCCTCTTGCCTCAGATGTGAGCTACTACAGCTGGCCAAAGAAATATTATCTTTTTATCCTGATTCCTGTAAGATGAGCACCACCAGTAGGAAAAGGGGCAGCCCCTGGCATGTGAGCTGGTCTGGTACCCAAGGCTAAGCTCTCCTGGTGAGCAGAATCCATGTCACAGAACTCCATATCAGTTAAGGCCACTATGATCATAATGGATCTGGACAGGACCAAGACCACCCAATCATATATGACCAGCAAAACCTGAGCCAGAAAATTCCCAGTGACAGGCATAGGCAGCAATTTTATTTTATTTTATCTTTTTACCAATACTTTCAGTGGGCTCCTGTCAGCTCTCCCTTGGGAGAAGAGTTACTGACATGCTTGGTTGTAAGATCTCCCTCCCTTCTTCCTGGCAGCTTCGAAGCGCCAGCAACACCCCACTACTGGAGCTGTCTCCAAACCTACCTGACCAAAATCTCTCAGGATCCTTTCTGGGCTTGAGACACCCCATGTCCCCAAAACACATTTGCCCTCGCCTCAGCAGGCTGCTCAGCCACAGGTGCAGCTGGAGGTCTGCTGAGACAGCAACAGCGCATGTGAGGTAGCTTGGTGGGGCAGCGGGGGTTCCAGGCTCTCTGTTTGGCAGATAGGCAAGCTTGCCTGAGTGAGGGTCAGAGACCTGCCTGGACCACGAGGGGAATCCGCTGTGGAGCACAGAAATCCTGTACCCACACTACTCCTACAAAGAAGTGCAGCTACAGCCCCAGAATACAATGAGCTGGCTGCTGCTCGTGCGAACTGACCTGTGGGTTCTTAAAAAAAAAAAAATCTACAGAGGTATCTTGAACACCTCCACCTCTAACTTACAGGAGCACTGACTAGAGGAAATGAAGACCGTACCCACTACCATCCTAGGAAAGCCAAGCTGGGAGAGGGTGGCTACAGAGAAAATTCTGCCGAGCTTCCTTCATTATGGGTACAGTGACCACCATCCACCCTGTACAACTGGAAGAGAGCCTCCAGGAGTTGGGGTCCCCAGCCAGAGCGTTGAAGAAACGGACCCACTGTGTGGGGTGCATTCAGAGAAACCTGTGCCTGAAGCTCCTCCCCTGGCCAATCCAAGCCAGATGTTTCCAGTAATTCCTAGTGTCCATGGGAACCTCCCCAAAGGACCATGCTTCATGTGCTGTCACACTTGGCCCGGAGTCGAAAACAAGAGTGGTCAGGGACTGTGTCTGCCTCAGTCGCAGCTTGCTGCCTCCATCCTGTTCCTCGGCTTCCTAGGTGAGAACTTAGGTCAAGCAAAATAGTGCCTGTTTTGATGTTTGGAAGGAAGGAGAATCTCAGGCCAGACAGGCCTACAGTGTGAGGAAAGAAAGGAGGGGGCAGAGAGAAGGGAGGAGAGGAGAGGAATGGAGGGAGAGAGGAGGGAAGGAAGGAGATAAAGGAGAATAGGAGAGAAACAAATGGAGGGGGCAGGAGGGAGATACATGGGTTGGGGGCGGGAGGCATGCTATGCTGCTGGAATCTCATACAGAGCTGGCAGCCTGTGTTGGGAGTGCCCAGGGACCTTGGGTCTTTTGTACTGCTCTGGTGGTGACTGTAACCTGCAGCCAGGGTTGAGAGACAGGAATGTAGAATGCTGCCTCAGAACAAACCAGTGCTGTGCGGTCCACATTTAAGTTATAATGACAGAAAAAGAGGAAGTCTTCTTGCTATTGAAGCTACAGCGAGCCTCCATCTGACCTTGACCGACAGGTGTGAGCCACAGCCCTTCCTTTCACAGACCCCAGGCCCCAGTGTCCCACAAGCCAAGCTCACCCCAACTGGGAAGCCTTCATATTCCAGGCGCAGCTGGGGGTCAAGGAAGGTAGCCTGCCAGCAGTTCAGATGGGAGGCCTCGTCTGTCAGAATCACCTCCTGGAGCCAGGACTTCTTAGAAGACTTCAGAAGGGTCCGGTGGTCACTTGATAAGTACAGCTGGAAACAGCACATAATCTGAGTCACAGCTACCAAGAGAGCCAATGGCACTGCACAGCAAGCAGGCACAAAAGCAGTTTCCAGAACCCTGCTCCTACCCATCCTATAAGAAATTTTCCCCTTCCTTAGAAATGTATTGTCAGAATAGTATTTCCCCCTCTCCCTCACTACACCCTTTCCCCTCCCTACTCCCTCTCCCTTCCTTCCTTCTTCCCTTCCTCCCTCCTTTCCTTCCTCCTCCTTCCCTTTCTCCCTTCCTCCTTCCCTCCCTCCCACCCTTCTTTCCTGTGATGGTTTCAGTGAAAATAGCCCCCATGCTCATATGCTTGAAGACATGGTGGGACTGCTTGGGAAGAATTAGGAGGTGTGGTCTTACTGGAAGAGGTGTGTCACTGGGGGTGGGCTTTGAGGTTTCAAAAGCCCACAGCATTCTCAGTTAGCGCTCTATCTTTCTGCTTTCTACTTAAGGATCAGATGCAAGATCTCAGCAACTGTTCTGGCACCATCTCTTATCGCTCTGGAACCATGAACCTCCAAATTAAATGTTTTCTTTTGCCTTGGTCATGGTATTTTGTCTCAGCAATAGCAAAATAAGACATTTTCCACACTCTATCCCCTGCTCCCTTTCTCTTTCAAAACATGAGCCCTGGGTCTGTAGCTTATACACTATCAGTAACGTTGCTGAAACTGGACACCTGAGATGAAGTACTCTTCCGCCTGGGGCCATCACATATGGCACTTGCTCATGACTCTACAGTGACCCTGCCCATCTGGAATCCATGTTCCCAATGGGACTAGAGATCAGATGCATGGCTATGCTTTCTCAAGAGCCATCCCATCATGCTGGAAGTCCAGATGTTCTCTCTTTGTTAGCTCTTTCCTTGTTCACCTCCACCTTGAACATGAAGGTGGTTTCTCTGTCCCTTATCAAGCTTTTAGTGTGTTCAAAAAAAATAGATTTATTTTATTTGTGCACATGAATGTTTTGTCAGTGTGTATGTATGTGTGCTGTGTGTACGCCTAGTGCCTGCAAATGTCAGAAGAGGGCTTCAGATCCTCTGGGACTAGTTGTGATCCACTGTGTGTGTGCTGAGAAATGAACTCAGGTCTTCAACAAAAGCAATAAGTGCTCTTAACCACTGAGCCCTTTTGTGAGTGCTTTTTATCTATTAAGCAGTGTGTGAGATACAACAAGGAAGGTATAAGTGAGTTATAACCTTCTGTACATTTTCTACCCAGCAAGAGGGGTGATGGGCTGTGGACAAAAGAGGCATCTTGGACCCTCTGAATGTTCACTGTCCTCCATGTGACTAATGATTCCCAAGGTGGGATATGAGGCCTAAGGAAAAGATCTTCTATGCTTAGAGGTGTTCCTCAGAAGCCAGATCAAACCAATGAGGCCTGGGCCATGGCTTGTACTGAGAATGAAAAGATGGCAATGTGTACTGCAGAGCGAATGAGCTGGCCCTCGGATGGACAGGGGCTTTGCTGCAATGGCATTTAAAAGTAGGCAGGAAGGAAAAACATCAGGACCAGTGCTCCAACCATGTGAAGCACTCATAAAACCTGATCAAGTGCTAGAATGCCTTCCTAAGAGAAGTTAAGAGATGCCTTACAAGAGTAAAAACTTCAAAGTTGTTAATAAAAAAGCACTCAGCTTTACAGTGCCAACCAAACACAAAGTGACTTTTCTCTGAACAGGCAGAGGGACTGGAAAAGATAATTATTGCACTTAAGTCGAAGATTAATTCCTAAGGTAATCCAGACAAAGAAAGATAATGGAGGGAAACAAAGATCTGTCAAAGTGTATTACGGCGCTGTATAATTACAACACTATAGTCCTAAGTAAAAATAGATGATTTCAGGGGATCAAAATAGAACATTCAGGAAGAGTATGCTGTGCGCAGGATAATTTAATATATACTTAGGGAAGGACCATGTGCCAGGAGGAAGAATTATTCTAGAGCTAACATGTGAGATGGACAGTCACTTGGGAAACTTGAGTGCAAAATCCTTTACCAGAATAGACCTCAAATGTATTAAAGATTAAATTTAAACAGTGCCAAACTGTAAACATCTAGAAATTGAAACTTGTTTTTCTTTATATCAGATCTTTGACAGCCTAAACCTTAGAAAGAAAAGCAATGGAGGGGCTAAAAAGATGTCATGGGAGGATGGGAGGGAGAGGGAACTGGGATTGGTATGTAAAATAATATTGTTTATAATTTAAATAAAAATGTATTTTAAAAAAAGAAGAAGATGCCTCAGAGAACAAAAGCTGTCCCTGCACAAGCGTGATGGCCTGTGTTTGCATCCAAGAAAGCCACATAAAACACTAGATGAAGTAGTGTGTACATCAGCAATCCAAACATCCCTATAGTAGTAAGACAGGAGGCAGATATAAGAGAATTGCCTGGAATCCGTGTACCAGCTAGCCTGAAATATACAGTGTGAGAAACAAGAAAGACCATGTCTCAAACAAAGAAGAAAGTGAAAGCTGACTCCTAAATGGTGTCCTATACACATACACACACACACACACACACACACACACACACACACACACACACACGAGTAACTTCACAGAAATATGATAGATTTATCTCAAAAATACAAGTAAAGCAACTACAATTTAAATTGGGGGAGGTAATATTAGCAGCAAATACAGAAATTCAATCATCTATCAAAGGAGCAGTGAGGTAAACCCAAGTCAATACAGAGACAAAGAACACATGGTCCCCAGGGCAAAAGAATGAGGAAGGCAAAGAGAGGGAGGAAAAGTGAGGATATAGGAGGGGGAGGAGGGCAAAAGTACAGGGACAAAAATGGGTACTACAATATTTACATATCCTTTCCTGTTTGTTCTTAAGATTAGCAAAGATTTAAATCATGATATTTGTCACATTTTCGTGTCATTTCTATTTACTGTTGCTGAGAGTACAAATTGGCACAATGAACTAAGGAAAAAAATGGTTGCATGTTATCTTTAAAAAAGAAAAAGAAAAACAAACCAGGATCTATCTATCTATCTATCTATCTATCTATCTATCTCTGAAAAATAGGCTGGCCTGGAGTTTGTGACAATTCTTATGCTTCAGTACCCCAAGTGCTGAAATTATAGGTATATGTCACTATATCCGGCTTTCAATACTTCTAATTGTATTCACATTCTTGAGATCAGTAATTGTATGCTGAAAGAAAAATCTATTCTGAAGATAGACTCACTAACTAGGGTTTGACGGGGAGATGAGCTTTAAGCATTCATACACACACACACACACACAGAGAGAGAGAGAGAGAGAGAGAGAGAGAGAGAGAGAACTTTATACATGATAGAAATTAGAATAACAAATAAAATCAGTTAGATATGGAGGCACACACCTGTTCAAGGCCAGCCTGAGCTGAATGGAAAGACCAACAGAAGAGGAGAGAAAAGGATACGGCCTGAACACAGAGTGAAGGCTGGGTAACTATAATACTGCCACACAGTGATATATTAGGCATTCCTTAAATGTAATTGTTAAGAAGAGCTTTGAAAATGCTGGAGTAGAGAGAACCTGGGTGTTCGTTATGGTCAGAGCGGAGTTTTGTGTTTTGAAGAAGGCACATAGACAAGCACAAATAGAAGAAGCCAGATGCTGGTGTGTCATCTCTGAGTGCTGAACCTAAACTCAGGCTGCAAATTGACAGTCTGGCATAGTTTGACTGGCATCCTCGGTTTGGCTTAGTGGTACCAAAAAACAGATGATACAATGTCATATCAGATTCTGGAATCTCCTGTTGGTCTCATTTCTTTTTCTAATTTCTGTCATCAAATCCTGATATAAGACACAGCCTGCAAGGTGAAGGACTTACTTGGGCTCATAGTTTAAGGAGTTAGTCTTTCATGGTGGGGAAGGCTTGGCAGCAGGAACAGCTTATGACTGTGGCTGTGCATATGGGGCCACTGATTAGGTCTCAGTGGACCAGGAAGCAGAGAGATTGGGCCAGAACTATACGGTCTTTACCCCACTCCAGTTGGTCTCCAGCTCCCAAAAGAGCACTTCCAGTTGAGAACTCAGTGTTCAAACACAGGAGACTATAGGAGGACATTTTACATCCAAACCATAACAATGCATAGCTGAACGTCTATGTTCCCAGTGGTTTTATGTTAGAGACTCACTTGAAGAAAAAAAAAAAAAAAACTGAGTTAATATGTGTGAAGCAATTATAGCATTGCCTGGCACAGCGCTCAAATTTTATGAGTCACTGACACAAATGGTTAATTTACACAAATCCCTATTACATAGTTTGCATGTGAAATTCAAACATTGTGTTTATCTTGTTTTGTTGTTGTCTGTTTTGTTTTGTGGAGACAGGTATCACTCTATAGCCCAGGTAAGTCTCAAACTCATGGCAATCCTCCAGCCTCAGCTTCTCAAGTGCTGAGTTTATAGGTGTGTGCTACCACACCTGACCTATTATATTCTATTATCTCCAAAGTAAGGGAGGATCTCAGAGACTCAAGCTTCCTGGATTCTGCTAACTCATATTGCCCCAATTCCTTCTTAGAAAAAGAAAAAACATAGTTTCTATGCAAAAGCTTAAAATGTCAGAGCTGAACACATTGGTCCATGCCAATAGTCCCAGATATTTGACAGGACACTGAGACAGGAGGATCACGTTGAGTCCAGAAGTTCAAGATTAGTCTGGAAATGTATAACCTTGCTGGTACTGGTGGCATATGACAAATGTCAGTTTACCAAATCATTTAATTTACTGTTTCAAGTAAACTTTTGCCATTTGACACCTGCTTTACCAAAAGTATTTTTCTCTCTTCACTCCTTACCTTTCAAGGCTAGGGATGCTGTTTGCTTGTTTGTTTTGTTATTTACAAAGTTAAGAGGAAAGAATCAAGTACAAAATGCCCAGTGGAACCCACAGACTGAATGCACCTGACAGCAGAAATGGAGCCCTAACCTGCACAGTCCCTTCTGGAGGTGACTACTGGCCACCCTGGTAAACAAGAGTGATCGATGACAGTAGGCATGCACAAGAAGACTCACCATCTTGCATTCCAGGCCTGCTTCTATCCCGAGGCAGAAGCTCTGCCCGTATCTAAGGACTTGGCCCACAGCATCGCTGCTTCTGCTGTCACTGGAGGGTTAGAGCAACATGAGAGAGAGAGGACTATGCCTTACCATCATTTCTATGCTTTTGTTGACAGCGAATATTCACATACCATACTAAATCAAATAACAAAACTTCCTCTCCAGTCTGTTTTGCTTGCCATGGCAAAGACCTCAGTCATCTGACATGATGTCAAGAGACGCTGAGGAGAATCATTACCAATTTGTGCACCACTAATTGAAATATTCTTGAGCACCAACTAAAAGGCTTTCCCCCTCTTTTTGTGCATTAATCTATTCATGTCTTCATTTTTTTTTTTTGATGTTTTGAGACAATCTCACACTAAAGCCCAGGCTGGCCTTAGACTCACATGTAGCTCAAACTGACATGGAACTTGGAGGAATCCTCCTGCCTCAGCCTCCTGGGAATGCTGGAGTTACCATAGCCAGCTATAAAAGTTCTTTCATTTTAGCCTCAACATTCAGCTAGCATGAACATGATATCCCCATGCTATCTGTCCCACAGATCAAACCCAGAACCTCCACACTCTGTATAGCCTTTGAAGCAGAGTGGACTAAGCATGTCGACATCTGCCAAGAACTTCTGGTCATGTGCACTGACATTTTTAACCAGAGTCAAGATTATTCTTCTGCAGACATTTAATACAATATTCCCCCGTAATCTTCCAGGGACAGAAATGGTCACCAAGTATAAGTTATTTTACCACAGAGCATCTGTACTCAAGAAAAATTAAAGGAAGGGTACATAAGACAGGCTCTAGTCTTGTCACTGAAGTATTGTCACAAAGTGTCAACAAAGTTAAAGTTGTAGTTTTAATTGTGATTATATGTCTCTAAAGGTCTCGCTGATCATTTCTGAAACCTCAAGTCAATTTCTGATAGACGACTGAGTTTAAAAGAGTAAAACCCATTTCATGCAGCCTTTTATTAAATGAAGCTAACATAACATTGAGAACAATGCAAGCACTCTTATGAACACAAAGCATCTTGTAACACTGTTTGGAAAATCTTTCTTTGCTTCCAGGCAGAATGTAAGTTTAAATTTCTGGATCTGACCATCATGAGCAAATGTTTTGAACTGAACACAAGTAGCTACTTGACCTGCTGTCTTAGGCAAACAAGGCAAGACCTCAGAAAATGTTCACATGACTTTTGCCTGCAGCCATCATTGCCTGATCCCACTGTGTGTGTTGTGTGTTGTATGTATCCATCTATCTGTGTGTTTGTGTGTTGACAATGCTGTTGAGAGAGAGAGAGAGAGAGAGAGAGAGAGAGAAAGAGACTTATTTGGCCTGAAGTTCACCAAGTAAGGTAAAGGTAGGCTGACTGGCCAGCAAGGCTCAGAGATCTGCATGTCTCTCCAGCCACAGTGCTAGAATTACAAGTGTGTACCACCACACTAGGCTTTTTGTAATATGGTTCCTGGGAATCCAAATCAGGTCCTCACATGTATGAGGTAAACACTGACTATTGCCTCCTCATTTTAAAGCTACAAATCCAAGCAGATACTGTGATGTTGACAGAGTGTCTCTACCTCAGGATGGTGAAAGTGTTTCTGCCCATCGGGACTGTGGTCAGAACAGCACTCAAACCACAGGGCATTTCCAATTCATCAAGTAGCTGGGCTTTAACTTCATCCGGGCTCATGCATAGGCACAGGTCTCCTTCCAGAAACATGCCAGCTTCCTCCCCCCGGGGGTGATCAGGATTCACAAGCATCACTTTGTCGCCATAATGGACAAATCCATCTTTGGATACCGAAAGCTCCATCTACAGTTTTAACAGAAATTTCCAAGAAGCCCATCAACTCCTTTACTGCTGAGAACAAGGCCCCTCCTGAGTGCACCTCCTTTCTTTCTCAGACTGGCACCATTTCAATAATGCCCTCCCTCTCTCCCTCCCTCCGACCCTTAGTATCCTTCCCTTCCATGTTGTCAAGCAAATTCCCAATGACCCTAAACAAGGTAGAGCAAAGCTGTCAGAATTCACATAGGTAGATTCAACATTTGTGAGCAGAAACTGAAAGGCACTCTACTTGGACAAGCATTAATCCATCCCTTCATACGCAAATGTAATTAAGTAACATAATTAAAGGCGGACTTCCCTTTATGTTTCTCAAATCTTGCGGAACTTTAAGCACTGTATTTTCAGATTATTCTTTTTAAGTTTCCAAAATGGTTAGTTGTTTATAGAAAATTTCCTTGCTTAACTTATTTTACAGTAGTGTGAAATTGGTGTTGGAATTTGAGATTACCGGTCTCAAGAGGTTCTTTTTCACCCTTCTGTTTCTCTGTATAAGGAGTTCTCCCTTCTCCCTCTTCTCTAGGAAGTCTCTCATACGCTCCTGGGGATGCAAAGACAGAGTAATCGGGAGTCCAAGGCAGAGCCACTGCAGAGCACAGGTACTGGTAGCTTTGCCCTCTCTCGGAAGCATCTCAAGTTCAAAGACAGTTTGGGAACACAAAAGGAAATGTGATCGTGATGGAGATGGCAGAAATATCCGCAGCATGTCACGGTGGAATGTTTTAGAAGAAGCTGAGAAAACTGCACGGAGAAGAAAAAGAGAGGGCCCTGTGCTTATCCCGTCCAGAAACAAACAGGAGTGGTATTTGGAGGCCAGCAGTCTCTACCGGGGTCTTCCTGACTGGGGTGACCATATGGAAAGCCCATCGCCATACACTCATAACCCCAGAACCTTACCAACACCTAGGGGGCGCCACAGAGTTGATAAAGAAAGAGAACCAGGGAGGAGGCGAACTGTGCTTGCTCTGGGTTCAGGAACCGTGAAATGGGGGCTCTCAGTGAGGCTGGGTGGTCAGAGACAGCAGATGAGCTACCTAAGGTTCATCAAGGGTGTATAGGGGACATAGAAAGGCTGGGTGAGAAGAGGCTAAGTGCTCAGAGCAGCACAAAGGGAATATATGAAGGGCAGGGTCTGGGATCCTAGGAACGCGGCGGCACCCTGCGCACCTCCTCCAGGTAGACATCTTCGTTCCAGTTGCCCATCCGGACTCCAGGACCATACAAGTTCTGTGCCATCGTCCCGGCTCAGTCAGAAAGTTGGCCTCCTGGGACAGCAGCGTTAGCGTGTCTCGTTGCCATGACGACTAGGCAGCTCCTGGTTGGTCAAGGTCCTCTTGGTTAGCCAATAAATGACAGCACAGCAGGTGTGTGGTTCCGCCTTGGGCTGCTACTTACTCTCCAGCTCACCCTGCCCCTCCCATCACTGCCACCGCCTTCAAAGAGGACCACCGCACAGCTGATCAGGAAACCTGGAGAACACTGTTCCAAATGCTCCCGAAGGGAAAAAGTCTTGAAAATTTTTATGCCGTTTTTTCTTGAGTTGGGTTTTTAAGTCTGCATCTGGATACATATCCCAGGCTGGTCTTGAACTCATTATGTAGCACAATCGGGTCTTGAGCTGGAGATCTTCCTGACTGCCTTCTAGTGCTGGGATAACAGGTGTGCATGCTACAATGGCATTATTTTTTTTTTAATTGGGATCTAAGTTAAAACACTCTGAAAGTAGAATGCCGCTAGCTTTCCAGTGGAGTTGTGGTTCAATTCCAGCTTTGTTTCTAATTGCTGTCAGCAGTGATTTCACAAAACAACACCGCTTCACTCTAGACACTGGAAAACCAAAACATAAAAGGCAGCACTCAAATTTCACAGCTTCCAAAAGAAGAGACAAACCACTGTGCTACCATATTTTTATGTATGCATTTCTGAGGTAGTCCATATTTTCATGGATTTTATGGCAACCCTCCCCTCCAATGTCCAAATGCAAGGGCAAGCCCGTGATTTGCAGGCATTCTTAATAAAAAACAAAGTTTGCTTTAGCCAACATTTGAAAAGGAGGAATGAGCAGTTAGATAGAGCCACCTGGTGCTGGCTGCTGGCATTCATTAATTCCCCCAATGACTAGCACCTCCCAATGCAGGCAAGAAAGGGAAGGTCAAACCCAGCCTAACTGGGAAGCCAGATCCTGAAAACAAATTGCTTCCAGAGATTGTAATACACAGAAGCCACCGAAGAAATGACGAAGGGGGTACTGGAGGGGAACTGGGGGGGAGGGGTTTAAGTCGTTGTGCAAGTGACATCTGGGCAAACTTTAGGAAAGAGAATTCCTTGTAATCATGGAAGGATCTGAGCTTGGGAGCTGCAGTAGGTGACACAAATAGGCACATTCTGCTCCTCTTGGGTTCCTTTCCCTCCATCACACATTCTAAGATTCCTCCAAAGACTCTAAGTCAGACATCACATTGCATCAGACACATGTCACTTGGGGAACGTGATGAACTGGAAACAGACTCAGCAAAGCTAGCAGCATACCTTAGCTCAAACTGCTAACGCTATCCTCATAGCACATGGTGAATAGTAGACATCCTGTGCAACTGTTCACGTGGGATGGTGATCATCTGAAAGCAAGCTGTCTCCTGGTGATGCCGCAGCAGTACTATCAAAGCACAGAGCAGAGCTCACACGTTTCTGTTGATGCTAGTATAAAGGAAAAACCTGTGTGCTGACTGCTGAGCAAAAGCACAGCATGCACAATTACGGGTAACACATGAGGCTTGTAGTGACACTAAATGACTGCTACTGGCTTACTATTTACTGTAAGGCACTTTTACCTCTATTTTGGAAGCTATGCCTTCTGCTTACAGGGTGCTATGAAGCAGTGGGGGAGTGGGGGTTCCCCTGTAAGAAATCTCCTGCAGTTCACACTGGAACATCTCCAGACTGTTTAATTTGTTCTTGGGCTGGTCTGGTCACTATCACCCAAAGTGTTCAGAGCCAATGCTAATGTTGGAGGGGAGCTGATGTTGAATGATTGACCTGGAAACAAAGGTTAACGTGTTTTTTTTTCTAAAACCCCAAATCAATAATGGTTATTCCTCACCAGTCAATCATGTCCAGATTCACTACAGCCAGTTTTGAAAAGTATGAAAAACATTGGGGATTCACTAAAGACAATACCACTAACAGGAAATTGAAGAGAGCCAATAACAGATACAGAGGAACTTTAAGATCTCGACTTGAACACATAGCACTGATGTTTGCACAGTGAAGGCAACCACTTAATAATAATGCAGCTCTCAGATGTATCCCTGCTCCAGCCAGGTATGCTGGCACAGGCCTGTAATCTCAACACTCACTACTTGGAGGCAGAAGGATCAGGAGTTCAACGTCATCCTGAAACACAAAGTAAGTTTGAGACCAGCCAGAGTTCTGGGGAAATTATCTCAAAAAAGGCAGGGGGTGCTAGAAAGATGGCTCAGCAGAAAGAGCACATATCACTCTGCCAGAGGACCCGAGTTTGGGTCTCAGCACCAGTGCTGAATAACTCTAATCTGCCTGTAACTCCAGTACCAGGGAATCTGATGCCTCTGACCTCTATCAGGCACTCACCCACACACATATCCACATATACATCTAGTTAAAAGTAAAAAAAGATTTTAAATCCCTGTTGGGAAGTAGAGGCAGTCAGATCTTTGTGAGTCAGAGGCCGTCCCAATCCATTTAGCAACTTAGGGCTATACAGTGAGACCTGATCTCAAAACCCACACACACACATACATATGCATGCAGAACTATTGTACTGTATCTCAAAGCAAAGACTCTTATATGCAGACTCCTGACTCTAAAGCCAGTGTCATTCCTCCTAAGAGTTTCCATGTTCCCCACAAAATTGGGTACTAAACAAGGAAACATTGAGGGCATTGGACCTGGACACCTCTCTCATAGACAGCAGCCCATAAAGTAAGGACTGAAAGCAGGACTTCAATTGCCTATCAGAAGAATGGGACCTGAGTCCTATCTCTGGAAAGAGATGAGATAGCCTAAACTGCTTAGAAGGCTTGAATCTTACAAGATTATTTTACATCAGGAAGCTGTCTCATAAAGAACAAAAGCATAGTCCTGTTCCTTCCTGTGGGAGTCATCCAACGGGGTCTGCCAATCACTTGGACAAGTCAAAGTCTACCAAGCCCTTGTGAGGTCATAAAATATTTAGTTTATATATAATTATACAAAAAGTCTCATCTACATTTCTTTAAAACCCTCAAAACCAAGACCTGTGTGGTTGACTAAATCTGACTTTAGTAACAAACTTGCCCCACACCCTCTACTTTACAACTGTGATCTTTGACATAAAGCAACCATATACCAAAAAGGGTTTTATTTGTGTGTGTGTGTGTGTGTGTGTGTGTGTTATTTGATGAGGCATAGAAAACTATGACCGGAGTCTTTTATTACTTACATTTAAGACATCTGGTAGACAGCCAGAGAAACACATAAAAAGAATCAGGTTCAGGAAAGAAAAATGGAACAAAGTTCAGACTCTGGGAAGGAGAACCAGGAGATGTGTGCTAAAAGCAGAGTATAGTAGTCCTCAGTGGGTGTGGATGGCATGCAGGTCAGCCCAGGGTCGCATTGAGAAAGCCAGGTAGAGCAGCTATTTTGCTGGCTGTACAACACAGTTGTCTCTAGGCCTTAGAGTTCTCATCTCTGGTAGAAACAGGAGGTCACTGTACTGCCAACACTCTGAAAGGCATGGGCAAAATAATCTGCAATGTGTTAATAGTAAAAAGGAGAAAGAATTGGGCTGTCAAGTAAACTTAGGTGGGAAGTAGGGAGGATTCTTGATTGCAGAGACCCTCAGTCTTTGGTTGAAGGCCAAGGCATGTACTGGAAATCTATGACAGAGCTTCAGGCAGAGCTTCAGCCCAGGTTCACTTCAATGTGAAATCTGTTTCCTTGACATCACCTTGTCAAATCAATATTTTAAGAAGCACTGACTACACTTGAAAAAAATTTTTTTTGAGAAAAAAAAATCTCAAATAGCCCAGGCTGGCCTCATGGTGTAGACAAGAATGACCCTGAGTTTCTCATCCTTCTGTCTTTACTTCATAGGTTACAGAATTCCAGGAACACACCATCACACCGGGTTTGTGTGATGCTGGGCATTGGATGCAGGACAGGTGCCATTACAAACACTATTCTAGTGCAGCCCATTAGGCTAAAGCGCTGGGCAGGACCAGCTCACAAGGACAGCGCACACCACACAGGTGACAGTGCCAGGTACTCCATCACATCTGAGGTGAAAAGTCCAGTATACAAGAGTAATGTGCTCACCCTGCTGGAGTCAGAAGAGAGGCTAATAAGTTGTGCTGAAGTTGGTGCTGGTCCTACGCATCCATCCACTTAGCCTATGGGATGACCCACAACTGTTAAACAAATAAATAGTGTGCCCTGTGTTTGGAGAGCAGAGGAGAGCAGAAGGGAGGGGAGCTACGTTTGGGTTCATGTTATCAGGGGTTTTGTCCATGTCACTTGGCCCCATGACTGCTGGCCTGTACTAAGGCAGAACATCATGGCAAAAGAGGAAGGTGTGGTGAGACAGAGCTCTCCATCTCATGGAAGACAGGAAGCAGAGATGGGAAGGGGCCCTAAATAAGGTATGTCCTCCCTGGGGACAACTAGTGACCTGCATCCTCTAACTAGGCCCCCTAACTTCTGCAACTAAGTTTCAAAACAACAACAGCAACAACTGGAGGCCAAGCTTTTAGCATGTGAGTCTAATAGACAATTAGTATTCCAATAATAACACCAACTCAAGTGATTTTTGAGGCTCAAAGGACACGAAAATATAAAAAAGAATTAAAACTTGGACACAAAGAGGCAGGAATAACAACAAAAAAAATGCTTCCAGCAAAGAAACAGAGTAAAGAGAAACAGAAATTCATACAGGGCAAATTAAACAAAAAGGGAACAGAAAGGAAAGGCTAGAGAGACCTTCAGCATCAAGGCAAGGCCTGTGGCTACTCATCTAAAGGCAGCACGAAATTTCTCAAAAGAAAGTGATAGAGGGCAGAGTTCAGCTGTGGAAGTCTGCCATGGCTACAGGCTGTTGTACAGATTTAGGGCAGGCAGTCCAGGAAACCTGTTAGGAGACCCCAGGAGGAAGGGATGCTGTAGCCGTGAAGATGGAGGAGTGGAAGTGAGTGAGAAAATAATCAAGTGACCATGTGGGGACAGAGCTATGCCATCAGGGAACCCACACAAGTGTTCATTTAGCTGAGACTTGTCGTGTGTGGT